TGCACACCATGGCCGTTCAACAGTCGTTGCAGCAATCCCCCAAGGTGGAATTCGTCAAGTACGCGGATAAGATGGTCAAACAAGTCATGTCCGATCCCAGTCTCACGCCCGACGAGCGTGTTCGCTTCATGACCAACTATGCGGCCAGCTTTCAAGACCAAAAAGCCATGGCTCAGAAAGGACTTACTCCTGCAGCGGCTCCTGCCCCAGGTCCTGCGCCTGCACCTGGTCCTGCCCCTGGTCCTGCTCCTGCTCTTATTCCTGGTCCTGGACCCGTCGTTGGCACCACCCCTGCTTGGTCTCTTCCTGCAGGACCCTCGGGAGTTAAGCTTGGGCCTGGAAGCGTTACTCCTAAAGGTACGGGTACGGGTTCAGGTCCAGGCCGTGGTCGTGGTCGTGGTTATACAGGCAAAGGCAAAACCCCACTCAAACGTCAAATCAACTTTGGGAACGTGGCCGGCACGTCTACTCCGCTGAACAACCTCAGACCTCAACAAGTCAAGCAGTTGAAAAAGGTAGACAACCTCATCCAAGCCATCGATCAGAAGTCCAGGAAAATTGCTCAGGACCCCCGATTGACCCCTGAGCAAAAACGCGAAAAGCAAGGCGTGCTCACGCGTGGACGTACCAAGTACAAGGTGATGCGAAACGACATCCTCAACAGTTAGACCATATAAAAAGGACCGCCGGCCTACCCGACCTACCCTGATTCGTCACTCGACCTCGTCATGAAACGACAACACGGAGGACGTGCCGCTCCTGCCGCTAAAGCCGCGCGCGAAGATGCCCCTCCCTTGAAAGTACACAAAGGGACCGTGGTCGACTTGTTTAAACGACTGCCCATCGACGTCACGTGCGAAAAATCCAAATGGGAAGTCTACTCGCAAGCCACGGCGGCCGTGGACCCTTTGGAAATCACAGTGGACCGAACCCGTACCTGGATCGACATGACCAAGATCCTGCTGGAATTCGACGTGGAATTTCATGACGGCGGTGCCGGTGCCGCGCGTGCACTCCTGACCGATACCTCATCGGCCGTTCCCATCAACAACGTGGCTCACTCTCTCATCAAACAAATTCAACTGACCATCAACAAAGGAGCCGTGACCGTCAACGCCGACCACTACCATCTAGAAGCTTATTTCGACCGACTGCTGAACTACTCTGAAGAAGAAAAGAAATCTCTGCTGTCCCTGGAAGGATGGGCCACGGACACTCCCGACAAGTTCGATCGGCTCAATCCCAACGACTTGGCCATTCCCAATCCCGCCGCGTGGGGCGCTAATAATGCACCCACGGTCGTCGAAGTAGGAAATGCCATTCGTGCTGCATTCGATCGCGAAACTCCTAACCAAGGCGCCAAGGAACGCGTTGGATTGTGCTGCCAAAACCGAGCCGTCAAGTTCATCCTCAGACCCGTCATCCCCCTCTTCTCCAGTCAACGCTACTTGACTCCTGGTTGTGAATTGAAATTCAGAATTCAATGGAACCCTCGAGAATTGGTCATGATGAATGGCCCCACCGTGGGAGCTACAGCCATTACCCACGCTAACGCTTCCTACACCATAGTCAACTACTCTCCCAAGTTGCATATTCGTCACGTGGACGTCAACAGCGAATTACACATCAAGATGGAAGCTGCCATGCTGGAAAACCAAGACATTGCCCTCTACCCTTACTTCACCAACAGAACCGTTACCCACACCGTTCCCGATGGTCGACGACGGGCTCAGATGCACAACGTGTTTCAGGGGTACCGACCCAACTACATGATCATTGGATTTCAACGAGGAGACGCTTTCGATGGGGACATAGCTCATTCTCCTTTCAACTTTCAAGACATGCATCAATCGTCCCTTCGCGTGACCGTCGACGGTGAAGAAATTCCCCATCAGCGATTGGACCTGACCTCGCATCATAAGGAAGAAGGCTTCAATACCCTCCTTCAGTTCTCAGGACGTGGCATCGACTCTGCACCCACCGGCATCGATCGAAAAGGGTATAAGGACGGCAATTACCTCATCCTCTACAACTTCAACCCCGACGGCGAACAAAACTTTGGCTACAGCTACGCTCGAAACGTAGGCAACGTCAACATCGACGTCGACTTCTCAGCCAACACAGTCGACAACACCACCATGGTCGTCAGCGGATACTTTGAACAAGAAACGTGGTTGGATGGTAACAAGAACGCTTCCCAGAGATACAGCTATTAGATCATGAACAGAAAGAGTCAACTCCTTACCGATCAAATCAACACGGTCGCATCGTACCCTCCCAATTATCACAAGCACCCCACGTACTCCTACGTCGGCACTCAAGGCGCCGACCAAGCTCTAGCCCTGCTCAAGAAGTACCGAGATGGGCAAGACCCGCCCCGCCCTTGGGGCATGGTGTTCAATACCGACCCCATCGACAAGCCCGGTCAACATTGGATTGCCTTGTACGCTCCCGACGTCGATACCAAACGCATCGAAATCATGGACTCGTACGGATCCGCGAATCTCAAGATCTATCAAGATCCCCTCCTCCAAGAGCTCATCGGCATGACGGACGTCGTCAAGATGCCTCAGCTGCAAGCCTGCAACACGTACGTCTGCGGGCATTACTGTCTGGCCTATCTCTACACCCGAGCCCGTGGCGGTTCGTTTTCCAAGTTCGTCAAACCCTTCACCGCTCGTAACAGAAAGGACAACGACAAGAAAGTCTGTCAGTTCGTGTGTCAAGTCATGATCCCCAAGTCCCTCCGTCCCAAGTTCAACAGCAAGATAGGACCCTTGGGTCAACCCTGTCAAGGCAATTGTTGCCGCAAAGATGTAAATGTAGAAGCAATAAAGACAACGTTTGAGTAACACAAAAGTCTGGTCTCTTTATTTTACATGAAACAAAATCTTACTACACTTTTTCTTTTCTTCACAATCAAATGTCTAGACTGATGTCTGCTGTGGGTTGGTAATGGAGTCTAGGAGCATCCTCAGATTGTCTTCCTCGAGAGGAGAAATGCTTTGCTCGCCTGGGGGGCCTGTAGGGACTTCCACTTGTACGATCTCTCCTTCCTTCATCCACGTCGGTACCTTCCTCTTAGCCTCCTCCTTGGTTCCTGTCTTGACTTTTCTCTTTCTCTTCACGGGCTTTACGGGTTGCAATGGCTTGATCACTTCGGTCACGATTTCGATAGGTCCTTCGTCTTCAGCGGTTGCAGTCTCTTCGATTACGCTTTCCTCCTCCTTAGGTCCCTTGACGTACTTGTCCCCGCCCAAGGCTTCCAAAGATTCGCTCAACAGCTGATGAAGTTCCACTCGTGCCTTTCGTTGTTCCTTCTGAGTCTCAGCACAAATGACATCGTACTCCATGCTTTGCAGCAAGCCGTACACCACGCGGTCATACGCTCCCAAGTGCACGCCCTCTTGAGCCAACATCATCCTCAACGATCCTATGTGCCCCATTACCGCCTTATACATCTTTTCTTCGTCTTCGTTCCTCCT